CCTTATATTATCGATGAAATAAAAAGTCCTTATTACATCTGTAAAGACCCTATGGGAAGATTTATTAAAATTCATGGTAATAGGTTAAAAACATTTAATATTTGATTTCAGATGAAATAGGTTAAAAATATTTAATATTTGATTTCAGATTTCATAAGAATTTATTTACAGAAGATGTATAGAAAGTTTTCCTCTTTCATAACAAATAAAGTTAACAGTCGGCGTAGACACGAGCTTTATTCAACAAGTAAAAGAAAAAGTAATTGACCGATTATATGAACTAAATTGACTATGTGAACAAAGCAATTGTAGAGAATCTCCGGAAATTAACGCGTTAAAAGTTAAAATTAATACATTGGAGAATAAATATATAAATTACAAGAACTTGATGCATCTAAGTGTAAAGAGAGGATTATTTAATTTTGTAGGAAACGTTTCTAAAACCTTATTTGGCACAATAGACGATAGCGACTTAGAATTAATCAATCAAAACATTGACAAACATTTCGACGCAGACAACAAAATTATACAGTAAGGAATCAAACACCAATGATGAAATACCTCTTGAAATACACTCGAGTATAGAAGAACGAGTATCTGGAAAAATTGTAGAAGCAGAGGATTTTGTACTCAATATAATTGGTTTAGAATCACTCATATACGAAATTATTGAACAACTAGATTCCACAATAACTGCGATACTTATAGGAAAACAAGGAAAATGCATAATTTATTCGGATTCATCCTAACTAATAAGCAATTTTTAGTGGTCTATACGTAATTAATAAAGGATAGTAACACATGCAATGCCATAGAATTAATAGAGGAAAACGTTCAACTAATTTATGACATTAGTGATATAAAAATTAACCTTAGAGGGACTAAGATAGTTTATGTAATAAATATACCGATTCTAGAAACCACATAGCGGAAATTACGAAAATACTATCCGATACCTTAAAAAACTGGCACGATATTCAGCGCAATTAACATACCAAGAACACTAACGCTTCAAATAATTTAAGAATACATTGGAATAGACCAAGAATATTTAAACAAACATTGTAAATTAGGCAAGCTAGTCTCTATATGTAAACGAACCAGACCGAACACACCAATTCTCACCGCGAACACTTGCGAAGCTGAGGTAATTAAGAACCAGCATAACTATTGTGAATGAGTACCTTTCAAAATTAAATCAATTACTTATATTCCGCTTACATCCGAAAAGTATATTGTAATACCGGGACAAGAAACCACACCCGACATAAATTGTAAAACACAGCTTATAGAAACAATTAGTTCAGCATATTTGATAAAAGCCAACATCGACTGCATTATACAAATACCAAATTTAATAATGAGAATTAGTCCAGGCAAATCAAATTTAATATGGGAATCGAAATTGATCAATGTAAATATAAACATGTCGGAGGAACAAATAGCATTGTTACAAGAATATTTGAAAGTAACACTAATTGCATTGAAAAACTTAAAATAAAGAGGGGAATGTGAGGATCACCCTTAATATTTCCTTTGCTTACGTTACCACACAGTCGTGTAACGACATCAGTTACGACTGAGCAGCCAACGAGAGCTATTAAATAAAATTTAAACCACGTTCAGTCCTATCATTTTGTGTTTAAACCGTGACATTACGCGTCTGAATCGAGACAACTGCGCAATAGTGAAAAGAGTGACACGACTAGACAAAGGTGAAAAGTCTGAGCAAGTTTGAATTAGGTGACACATCTAGGCAAGTGTGATCAAATTGGGCAATAGGAGAAAGAGTGACATGACTGGGAAGGAGCATGTGTAAAAAAAGTAACATGAGAGAGCTGACATGACTGTGCAAGTGTGAAATGTGTGACACGACTGGAAAGAACTAAAATGCGTGACACTAATGGACAAGTTTGACATGACTGAGCAGTAATGTCAAGAGTAAAGAGAGTGACACGACTGTACAAGTGTAACATGACTGGAAAGTGTCGCTTCGTTGTTATGGTACTATAGTAGTATAGTATCTTAAAGTCGATACGATATATTAACAGAATGTTTAATATTTTCACTTGTCATAAGTAAGCCCTATATAGCACCGGGGAACATTTCGTTCTTATTTACCCCCCGAAACCTAGAACAATCTAAGACTCAGATCGTGATAATATATTGATACTGCGACGGTATGAAATTTTGAAGAATCATAAGTTAATATCACATATTGAACAGGATATACGTAGTAATTCACGTACGATGAATAATATTAGACGTTACTTCTATACAAAAAAATGGTATTCATCGTGATGCCCGCACTGCGTAGAATAATATACCATAAAACCGATATGATATATTGACAGAATGAATGTCGGAAAT